TATATATATATATATATATATATATATATGTATTCTGAATTCTGATTTTCAGAATCATACCTCTGTTTATACTGCAAGGCAAAAGTTATTCCTGGAATTGCTTTTAATTAAGCAAAATCCTCTCTCCCTTCAAAACATGCTCCCATTCAGAACATCCTCAGCTCCCCAACAAGAAGGCAGCATGCACAGCCCTGATCCCCAAGCCCTGCCTGGCAGGAAGAGGAGCAGACCTTATGGATTACTCAGGGTTTAGTAAATACACATCTGGGTTTTCCTTTTACAAGGGTTTTCTTTGAGACAGCACAGTTCCTCTGGGTACCCTTGAATTACATCTAAAACAATGTTTTAAAATGGCAGCATACCACCCTTTGCCTCAACACCAAAAATCAAGGCTGTGGGATCGTATCTGATGTTCAACAAGCCATTAGTTCTGCTAGGAAACCAGTAAACTCTTGCTTAGATATTAAAGTTCTTCTGAATACCTAGGTTCCAGAGCAAGGTCTTCACTGAATACTGCCTTCAAGGGCAGAAATTTCCTCCCCTGCTTTAAGCTCCTCATTGTTTCAGGCTTTCAGGATAAAGATGTATCCGTGCTATGACTAAAATCTAGAAACTAGCTCAGATATGAAACATCTGCATTAAGCATTTCTAACGTTTTGTGATTAACGTCACTCTGCATGCATTCGATTTTGGTGAAGCAACACTAGACTTAAGAGTTGATTGCGTATGTTTCCATACCATTGTAACCTGGGAGGCAAAAAACCCCCAAGCAAGTACTTCAATAGGAAATGAAACAAGAGGTATAATGTCAAATGCCTTTTTTTGGAGAAAGCAGTACTATCTGATAATTGACGAGAAAAATTTATACAAAAGCAGCTTTCTCTGTTTGTCAGTAGTCCCCTCAGAATTGTATCATGAATTATTATTCTCCAAGACTGCACTAGTAGCCAAGCTGCCAAAGAAAAATGTCTTTTCTCCAATAAGTATGCTGAGCAATCTGGGCTGCTCGATATTTCAGGCAAGTATTACTTGAAACAAATTATTTATGTACTTTGAAAAATCTCCTCCAATTCTACAAGTATTCAGATTAATACCTGACGAAGAGAAAGCTGCAAATAATAACTGATTCATGATCAAGCAAGCATGACTTAGGGCACTATTTCCTTTCCATACAGCTGCACTAGCGGACTGCCCCCAAACTGTTCTGCAGCACAGAATGAAAAAATGGTAGACTTAAGTTACATACATTTGCAGGACAAGGTAAAACTTACTCCCCTAATATTTTTTTTAATCATCATTTTCATAAGTGTATCAATTCACTATTCTAACTTGATATCACAAAACAGAATGGGGATATTTACAACACCCTGCAAGACAAATAGTATAAAGCAAATACATTTTTGACAACTCAAGATTCTTAGAATCAACAGAAAATATAACTTGTGAGAATTTTGTAAAACAGATGCAAGCACATGTTTAGATTGAGCTAAAATCAGATTAACTAACAAGAATTCATTAATCTCTTTAAATCAATCCTGTAGAAAAACATGCGAACTACTATTTAGAGGATTGAAAGCATCCTTGAATGTAGTTACCTCTGTTCTGGACTGCCGTTAGTAGGCTGCAAAGCTGAAGAAGCCTCTTCTGCAACCTCTGCATTCTCTTCTACTACATATTTACAAGAAGCATCCTGCGAGGTAGACAATTTTCCTTCCTCACTTAAAAAAAAAGGAAAACAAGTTATTTAATTTTTAAGTGTACTTATAGGGAAATTTCAGGGAACAGGAGAAAACTAGGAGACGCGTCCGTATTTCACATGCAAAATGGATTTTAAGTTATGATTTCAACATGAAGATCAAGCACATGGTTCTAGACTTTACAAACACCTAATAATGCACCAGTGTTTACATCCATTAAAACTTGACTGGATAAAAAGGCAGGAAAAACAGTGATTACAATTAAGATCAGAAAGGAAAAAAAGGAATGTGTGATGCCTGAAGTGGTAACAATCACAGTCATGATCCTTTACTATACATACCGATAGGATTTCAATACTCTGATGCCAGAAGTATGCAAAAATGGAAGGAAGAAAGTATAAAAGAAATTCAAAATTCCCTCATAAACTAGCATTAATAAAGTCTGTCCATGAAATATATCAGCAGAATCATTAACTCATCACCATCTTTATTAAACTCCCTAATAACTCCACAGTGAAATACGATGTATGGGTTACTAAGACTGCAGCCCAATCTATTTCATGAACTTCCTCTGAGACAAAACCATAGCTCAGTGAAAAAGCAGTACACTCTCACTACATAAAACATTACCATGTAGCTAGGCAGCCTCAAAAGTCATTAGCAAATACTTTTGTTCTGCCTCTAAATTGAAGCTTTTCTGCCTCTATTCCACGCCCTCCCACACCATTATGAGTGCACTAAAATACAAATTTGACCATATATCTGCCAGAGATAGTTATAAGGTAGCTCTGAAGTGGACACAAACATCAATCTTATACCTCTGTGGCAACAAATCTATTTATGTAAGAAGTCAGGAACATTTTAAAGGCACTTTCCTCTGCTAATTCTTTTTCCTACTCTTACAGTTTTCCTTTCAATGGATCCTTTAAATTTCAGTAAATCCTTTTCTTTCCTCCCATGCCTCTTTCTATCTGCAGAGCCTGTAAAAACACTGTCTTTTGCATTGCAATCTCTCCTCACAATCCACTTTTCCCCATCTCATTCGCCTTGATACTCTTTGTATTTGTTCAAAATAAAATACTTATAAACATCACCATCAGAACTGGTCTCCTAATTTTTTTATTTTTTAAAAAAGAGTCAGTAGTCTCTGCTATCATTCTTCCCTTCTCATTTTCCATTTTGAACAAAGTTCAGAAACTACATTTTTGTCCTTTGTAGCTTTCTACAAATTAACTACTGCACTTACGATGCTCCTCCCCTGCTCAATATTGATTTGAATACTATCAACATTCTATTGGCAAAAACCTATATAAAACTTGGGTCTGGAAGCATCCACTTTGCCAGACATACTGACCAGAGTAGAACCTCTTCTCACTACTCTAATTCTTCCTTAATCTAGACTTTTTTTCCCCCCGTCATTGTTTTAGATACTTCTTCCAAAGGAAATACTACTTTTCTCTCCTATTTGTTGTTTTGGCATATTTAAAAGTCAGTTTAAAGAAAGCCACGTGAGCATTGACTCAGTATGAGGCCACATACCTCTATCAGAGTAGAACAGTCTCCATATTTAAAACCTCACCCTTCAGCCATGTCCAACATTTCTTTAATCTGCCTTTTCCAAATCAAGATCCCAGAGCCTCCATTGCTAGAGGTTTTCAAAATGTGATTGGACAGAGTGCTAGATAGTGCTAGTGCATCCAGGCTCCCTTTCCCACAAAAGACTGGCACAGATGATCTTTTGAGCTCCCTTCTCACCTAGGTGATTCTATGATATTGCTTCCCTTTGCACCTCTGTGTCCTTTTAACTACCAGAATTGAAGTGCTTACTCCACAGCTCAAGTAGGTAATTCTATGAAGGCATGCAGGAACTGCTACCACATGCTGCCTCCTCATGTTAGTTTTTGCACCAATATCAGAAGTCACAGAACTTTAAAGTGCACGTGAACTAAAGCAGTTTAAGGAGAAGTGTAAAAACACCATGGAAAACTAAATCCAACTGTAAACTTTTAACACAATAGGAGTGCAGACCATATAAAAGCGTTCCCCAAAATACAGAATAAACTGGAGAGCAGATGCACCATTTACTAAGACAGCAAGGCACTATGGGTCCATGCCACATCAGTCTGCACTGAGTCACAATCCTCCTCTAAACTGGTTTGGTTCAATTCCTCTAACAATGCCATTTGATTTATAAGTGCTGTGCAGCCATAAATGCTCCCTCCTCCGTCTTGAAAAACATCAGAAGTCAGGTGCCAAAAGAGATGAGAGTTGTTTATTGCTTTGATAATCAAAAGGATGGAAGCAAGAGCGGCTGAAAACGTTTCAATTCCTGAACCATCCAAAATGAACAGCACTTATCTACTACCACTAATGGGACAGAATAAAATTAATTTAAAAGAAGGGCAATGTAAGGACTAATACTGGGAAGTTTCTTCTACTGAAATAGACCAGGATTTTAAGCAACTTCCAAGACATATGGACAATTCCTTTTCACTATTTAAAGCTAGAATAGGGACAGATATTAGGAAATTATTTTAGAAGAATGAGAGGAGGGTTGCATGCCAAAATGCTAGTAATATGTTCTGATTATCAAGATGGAGCAGGGGGCATGACACACCAGCTTCAATCAATAAAAGCAAAATTATTTTTGTAGGCCAGACTGTAGCCTCTGTTTCCCTACATACATGTTTGATACTAAATAAAAAACACCTGACCATTAAATCCAAGATCACAAGATCTTAACAGACACGATCTCAAGTAGACTAAACAGAAATGTGCTTTATCCCATAAAAGGATGGGAATATCACAATATTGATATATGTAATATGGAATATAACCATATTGTAAGACAGTTATTCCTGAATCAAACACTTTGTATCAGAAGATACCAAAATTAAGGAGTTTGCTCTTCTGCTTATTCTAGAATTCTATGTGCCACCTGTAGTCCAGAACAGATTTGACACCAACAGTGATGACCCAAAACGTCTCATGAGTTATTCTCAAGAGCAGTGCCTAGCTAGCCTTCAACTTGATGTCCTCCATCCTCCAGGATGAGAGGGATAGAATTCCAATCCAAATCTAACAATTCTATGCAAAATTAAAAAAAGGTTAGCTATGACATTCTATTAACATACAGTTAATTGCACAATTGTACATAAAAAATGCACAATAATATGCATCAGGGTCATAAGCTATTAAGTCAGTCTTCTGCTGAAATTAAGGCTTGATAAGGAAAGTCATATGTTATAGTAACCAACTAGAAGTAAAACTTCAAAACAATTACTTTGGAAGAAGGTTTCTAGTTAAAGCCTCAGGAATTATCACTTGCAAAGAATTCTTTTTGATGACATATAGTGTTCCATCAACAATGATTATTTTACAAGGGTGGGAAGACAATAAATAGGTATTCTCACCTTTTGAAAACAGCCGTTTCAGTTTTAGCATCTACAGTAAGACTCAGTGTCTCCTTCATGCTGCCATTCATTACTGTTTCAGTTACTTTGTCTGCATTTTCTACATCATCCTCTCCATCTGAGCTGGCCTCCATAGCAACACTTCCTGGGGCTAGATATATAGAAGTAATTCAGTACATGGCTGGTTATATTTCTATTTCATGAGTATGCGTTCAAGCCAACATAACCAGAGCAATATTTTTGCATTTTTGTACATTTGTTGAATTCTCCCCTACAGAGAAAGTCACCTTTGTGCGATCCCCCACTATACACATATATAGAGCATAAGTACTCCTTACAGATGGCTTTAATGAAAAGTCACATTCTGTAACCGTGGGGTTTTTTTGTTTGGTTTCTTTTTTTTTTTTTTTTTTTTTTTTTTACGGTTTGCAAGCCACTTAATGGTTTAGATTGACAATGGTTACCGCAATAAGTTTGCCTGAACAAGACCTTAGTAGGATTATAGTCATGTATTATTTTTTGGTAAAAATTCATTATACAAGCCCACACCATACAAATCTGACAATAAGTTTCCAAGTACAGACAAGCCTTTTAGAAGTTGCCCTCTCCCTGGACTTATATGCGCTTCTTGTTCTGTTTGTTAATAATATATACAAAAAGCTAATTAGCACATTTGGCCTTTAACCAGTTCATACCTGTAGAAGAAAGAATTAGTGTAAGCATAGCAAAGGTAACTTGGAAAGGAATGTGCAGGAAAGGGAAATTGCCATGTAGGAAGAGCCTATTGCTACATAGGAAGAGACCAGAGGCCACAACTCTTCTTGGGCATCAGCTCAGCTAACTAAGTGCTGACACAGGTGAGGATTCCCTAACAGAACACACTTAGCTTCTCTGTAATGCTTTTCTGTTCATGACATGCAGGCTTTTTAGAGGTAACAGTAATACTGGCTCCTCTGTTTTAAATAGGAAACTATTTTAAATAGCTCAGTAGTTCTTTGACAAGTCATTTTCATTACCTGGCAGAACAGCAGCAGAGCCAGATGACAGGTCTCTGGAAACCTAAATTTTAAAGTTCAGGGAGATCTTTCTCAGGTACAACTCTTAAAAATCAATCTGTTTACATTTCTGAATGCAGCGTACTTACTCTCCAGCTGTGTTGCAAGAGCAGTTACATTTGCACTCAAGGGATCAATTGGGTCTGTGTTTGTTTCCATTTCCACAGGAGAATTACTTCTTAGGGAATCTTTAGAGCTTCAAATACAAAGTAAAAAAAGCTTTAGAAACATTTCTGAGTAATAGAATGAAACATTCTTAAACCAGTATTTTTAGTTCTATATCAAAGTTATGAGGCCTATAACTCCAATGAAACTGAATGACGGCAAGTTTGTTTGTAGGAGTCTTTGGAAGACATGCTAAACAGAAGTTTAGTAATGCAAAATTCACCAGAACTGAGCTGACTGACTATACGTTTGGTGGTGGTTTTATTTTTTACTTGTTTTATTTGGTTTGATTACAAGCAGTAGTGGGCATGCCCTGGTAAATAAGGCACACAAGTATCATTGGCTCCTTGCAGCATTTCCAGCATCTTAAACTGACTTCCTAAATGCACTCCTTGCAACTTGCAAGATGGTTCTCTGCTGAGTCTGCCAACACAGTCCTCATCGTCCGCTACAAAGGTGATTTTACTACCTAATCATATATACCATAGAGCTACAAGTTCTTCATTCTGAAGAAACTCAAAAGACAAGATTTGGCCACTTGAAACACTTCTCACCATTTATAAAATGTCATTTCTATCCACTAATGTGGCAACTCCAAGTCTTTACCTTCTAAACCCGTAATTCTGTTATCAACTTACCTGCCTCAAGCATGAAACAATACACTGTTTTATGTCAGAAAAATCGTACTTTTTATATCTGAGCTTTAAAATGCCCAGACACGACAACTGAGAGCCAGATGTATAAAAGGAAGAGTTTTCTGACTGGAGAAGCAATCAGTTCTTGAGGGCTAGTATTTGGCAACTCAAAATTTACATCTACATGATTAGGTACTGACACAGAGGACTTCAGTTATTTTTTTTATGTCAAAAAAGGAAAGTGCATCTCAGGCATTCTCAAAATAGCACAAAACTGCCTAACCTAGGTATCACAGCTGCATAACCAGATGAGTTTTTAAAAACAAGAAAAACCCAAAAAACCCAAATCAAACCTATTTGTTTTATAACATCCATAAACGAGAATCATTATAGACATTTTATGACCTTTACATTCAACAGTTCATATTAAGCCTTTCACAGGGTTCAGTCTACACTAAAAAAAAAAAAAAAAAAAAAAAAAAAAAAAAAAAAAAAAAAAAAAAAAAAAAAAAAAAAAAAAAAAAAAAAAAAAAAAAAAAAAAAAAAAAAAAAAAAAAAAAAAAAAAAAAAAAAAAAAAAAAAAAAAAAAAAAAAAAAAAAAAAAAAAAAAAAAAAAAAAAAAAAAAAAAAAAAAAAAAAAAAAAAAAAAAAAAAAAAAAAAAAAAAAAAAAAAAAAAAAAAAAAAAAAAAAAAAAAAAAAAAAAAAAAAAAAAAAAAAAAAAAAAAAAAAAAAAAAAAAAAAAAAAAAAAAAAAAAAAAAAAAAAAAAAAAAAAAAAAAAAAAAAAAAAAAAAAAAAAAAAAAAAAAAAAAAAAAAAAAAAAAAAAAAAAAAAAAAAAAAAAAAAAAAAAAAAAAAAAAAAAAAAAAAAAAAAAAAAAAAAAAAAAAAAAAAAAAAAAAAAAAAAAAAAAAAAAAAAAAAAAAAAAAAAAAAAAAAAAAAAAAAAAAAAAAAAAAATTAAAGATACCACAGCCCAAATTCTGGTCAAAGACCAATATTAAAGGATCCAAATATTCTTTAAAAATCCTCTAAAATAATGACACACTAGAATCCACCCATCCTACAATGATGAGGTAGATCATATAAAGACATACTGTTACAACACATGGTGCCCTTTGGACACTATACACCTTGTATTCCACCAGAACACTATCAACACAGGCTTGGGTAGAGACGGACACCCCAAGGAAATCAAAGGGCTGCTGTCATTACATTTAGTAGTGAAGAACTTGCCCTGAATGACTAACATTCTTACCTCAAAGGGGACGTGAACTCTGAAAAGGAAGCCCAGCCAGTTTCTTTTGCTGGCATAGGTTCTTCTGTACTCCACACATCAGAGCCAACAGAATCCAGATTGGCACCATGTGCAGTCTCCATGGGTACATCAAAGTTAGCTGACCAGTTTGGTGCTAAGAAACGATCAACAAGTTCATTAGGAACAAATTTAAATAAAGAATATGAATGCACATATGCCCAACACACTGATTCTCTATATGTACTTTCCAAAAAGAACAGCAAAATTCAAAACTAGACTTTAAAGCACATGCAGAAGAATCAGCTACATACTGTTAAAAAAATGAATGCATTCCCTATAGTAAGGCAGAATTTTAAAAAACAGTAATTCTGGTATTATTCTGCTAGAATATTCTGCTAAAAATTGATATAGCTTATCTGAAGAACAAAAACAATAAACCATACCAGATCACAACTATAATTCCACTTTATTCTTTAAAATAAGATCAACATTTGTTTTCATTTTTCAAAACTAATTTCTACATTGATTAAAAAAATCTTAAAGAGTTTTCATCCCTTTTTCAGTTTCCTATGCATGTTTTCCTGAATATAAAAAATGAGCATGTCAACTTAGGTATGAGCAGTCTCTAAATCATTTCTCATGCACTAACACCACTGCTAAATTTCAGAAAAGTTTAAGGCTTTTTGCAACTTGAAATATTTATTGGGATTTTAAGTTTTGGAGAAACCGTGACATAACAGCATCTAATTTAGGATAGGTCAATTCAAAATACTTCACCTACCCAAGGGAAATATGTTTTTCATTAACACTTACATACAAAAAAACAGGCTGAAAAGGAAGCTCTGACTAGCAATTAGAAATTCCAACCCAGGCAGATATGGGAGGAGACCCACATGGATCAAAACTTGTTTGACACACAGATGCCAACGACACCAATCTGACAAAAGAAAAGAAAACCCTTAACTTTTCCTTCTATTTTAATTTATTTCCTTACATTCTAGATAAACACAGGGCTTTTACCTACAGATATTGCCAGTTTCACTAAAACCAGTTTAGTCTACTGCTTTGAACGTGAAAACTTTTAAACCAACTACATCAGTTAAAGTTCCACTTAGAAGTCTACCGATGTGCATCTTTCATTCACACATGAAACCAAACCAATAAAAATTCACTTCGCTTCTGTAGGAAGTCTTTTAAAAGAGCACTGTTAGATGAAAAGTTGGTCTGAAAGGCTTCCAGTAAAAATAACCATAATCTAGGTTTGGAGATTAACAATTTATTAGTTTTGCAGTCATTCAAGGTATAAGAGATTACATTTCATCCTTCCTTATCTGATTCCTCCTTCTCCTTTTTTTCTTGAAGAGTAGAAACATGAATTTTAGAGACATTAAGTAACTTGACTCAAGACTCGTAAGGAATTCAAACTTCCCAACATTTGCATGCTCTATTGCAAGCAGTCTTTACAGTGAGAAAGACTACTTTATTAAGATAATTGGAATAAAAACAGTGAAGAAGGAAAATTCCTACAAAATAAGTCTACTAGATCTAACGCTTTCCTATAACTCAAAGCAGTTGGAAGAAAAGCTACGTACGTTCACTTAAGTCTACTTCCATTTTGTCCTCTATATTGGTGTGCGATTCAAACAAGTCTTGTTTTGTTCCATCCTCTTCTTCAGAATCTGTACTTTCTTCACTGTCCGTACTGCCCGAACTTAAAATACAAAGAGGTTATGTGTTTAGTATCAGACCCTGGGCACAGTGAAATACTGGACGGTTTGAGGTTAAAGAGAATTACAACAGCTATAATTTCTGATAGATTAACTGAGGTATAATTTGTTGGCTGTTAGTATTCCCCTCATTTCTCTCTCAAAAAAACAAGGTTTAAGGTTTTTCCCTTGATCATGTAAAAGAGCTATCTATTTTTCCTCCATTTGCAAGTAAAAGACAAAGACTGGTTTTACTCCTGCCATGCAAAAGGGAGAAGAAAAGGAAAGTAAGGAATCAGATCTGTGTGCAGAGATTGTTGGTCTATTTGGTCTCTTCACACTAAAGAGAAGCACTGAAATATACAACTCTCTTCAACGCCAAATCTAAAAAGATATAACTTGATTTATTTTAAAATCTAACAACAAATCTATTTTAAAATCTCCCCAACTGTATTCCAGTCCATTCTCTTTAACTACATACATACTTTAAACCCTATGGGCATCTCTCCCTTCCTGGTGAGTGCAACTAACACAAAAAGCAAGGTTATGTGAGAAGATAAGGATGTCCCTGAAACACGTCACATTAAGTAATCACAACATCATCAGACAAAATAACTGATTTTGTACAGAAGGTATTAGCGACATGCGTTGCAAGGGAAGAAGAGATCAGGATCGTGACTCAAGCCACAAGAAGGTTAGAAAAGCCAGGACTAACCCTGGGACAAAATTCAGTATCAAGGGAGGGTGCACAGCCCTGAGAGTTTTGTGGACCAGATGCTCCTTCCCCTCAATGCAGCTTCCTATGTAGTTTTGTCCACAACCACAATGCTACTACAGAGAGGACAGCAAGGTCTACAGAGATGTGGAGCCGGACAGCCTAGTCTAAAGCAAGAATGACTGACCAGGTTTAAAAGCAGAGGGAAAAAATAAGCAGTAGGGAAAAAAACCCAAACCAATCTACAAAAACTGAAGTGCAGGAAGAGCTGAGTAGGCAGGGCAGCTGTTGCCATCTTCTACAAGTTATGGCTAGAAGACAGATACTAGAGCCATCGCCCTGCTCATTTCTGCACAGAATGGAAATAGCTAGTTATGCTGGACAGCCTGTGCTAACAGTCAACTTGAACGAAAAGACATTCTCAGTAGTGAGGGCTCACTATACTGCTACTTGGATGAAAAACACATTTGTTACCTGGAACGCCTCTGGGACTCCGGTGTAAATGCGATATGTTTTTCTTCCCAAATGTCTTCTTCATCAGAGCCACCATCATCAAACTGCTGTATCCGCTCCTTACAGCATGCCTCAAACAAGGCTATATTACCCTAAATACAGCAAAAGTATAAAATATGTATTTGTGATTAATCATTCAACTTACATTAGTATACATTTTGGAAATATGACTATTCTGAAGAGAAAAATAACTGGAAATCTTTTAAGCCATTCAAGTGGGGGGGGGGGGGGGGGGGGGGAACAACACATTTCTCTAAAAGCAGCTTGTAAAAAAAAAATATTCAGTGATGCTTGTTTTACTCAGCTACTAATAAGCTGACTGGACCAAAGAACAGCTAGGAGTTTCCATCAGTTTAACAATGGCATGAAGGAATGACATTGAAGAACTTTTCACATAACCAGACCACCAAGTACTCCAGTTTTATCTTCTGCAGTTCATTTCATCTCAACTGACAAATAATATCTAAGTTTAAAGTCTCTGTCCTTACTTTCCTGTCACCACAATCTCACTGGAAGACTGAAATAGCTTCTACCCATAAAACACAAGTGTGCAATATGCACAAATAGGATCCAAGCCTGTTCTTGAACCTGGCCATACAAATTAGAAGCAATTCTGTTTCACTGACCAAACAACAATAGTGACTTCCGGTTAGAAAAACCTCGTGATACAGGAACAAGGTAGGGTAGTTATTTTCCAACAATTACATATGAAAGGAGTAAATATAACAACTACCAGACAAACTCTGAGGTCACACCAAAGTTTAAGAGACAGTAATTTTTCTGACGGTATAGGAACACATACTTACACTTTCATTAGTATTGAGGGTAAAGTTGATGTCTGAGACCCGATCAAAAGAAACACTACAAAAAAAAAAAAAGCAGAAGTATGCAATAAAACAAGATGTTGTATTATGACATGAAGACATTTCATTTCTCTTAAGTTTCTCATTTTCCAATAATCTAAAAATATAACATTAAAGACTAAGTAATTTCCAACATAAAACATTCAAATTCCACACTGAGGATGCCTGGCATTCATATGATTCTTCTAACTGTGAAATATTTTAAACAAAAATAAAAAACAATGTTGTATTTACCCAATACTTAACAGTGAAGATGCAACAAGCCTAAGTAAGCATAACTGAAATGCCATACGCAAATCTCAAATACTTTACTGTTATGCACTGGAAAAAGAAGTAGGCATAAAGAATGTCTAATTTGACTGTGGTCTACCCTGACACAGCTCAAAATCCTGCAAAGATCTGTTTTAGCAGTTCTTACACCTTCTAACTGATTTCACCACTCTACAGAAGGACCTTCTCAACAGGAAGAGAGAAAGTGAAAAATGTAATATCAAATTCTGTTTCTTAAAAAAAATTAATCTCTTTTTTAAGCCAATCAGTGTGAAGTTTTTTTCCAAACTGAACACTAAATATTCGGCTTTACACATCTTCACATATTAAGCTATTGAGCAGTTTTACTAAAGTAATTACAAACACATCTTAGACTAAAAATAATATTAGGCAAATTAAATCTCTAGGGGAAGCAAAAAGAAACAGAGGAGGAAAAGATGAGAAATACTACCAAACTTTCCGAAGAGTTAATGTATTCTTTCTCTAGCCACATATAGCAGTGCATTCAGCAGCGCACATGCTACTCTTCCTCTAATCCTTATTGCATTACAAAGTAGGGAACAAGGTAAGTGGTCTAAAGGAACCTAAGTTAAGAGTGACTGAATTATTGTGCAAGTTACCATCTGAATTCCTGTACAACAGTAAGCACGTAATTTAAGCTGTAATTGACTCTTGCACAAAAGGCGTAATTTGAATTAAGCTGTAGTTAAAGTTATGTTAAAGTCATGAATACATCATCAGTATACTCATCACAAATCTCAAAAGATCTGCTTACACAAGTAGTCGTTGTCTTTCCACCAAGACCATACACTACCAAAGGCATGATCTTAAAGGAATTCCCCACTCCTATTCCTTGCCAAAATCCACTTGCTTCTAACAAAATTAAAGAGTTCAGCCAACTGATTACTACCCACTGTTGGTCCTACAGGTTGGCAACGATGAGGTTGCACTAAGAAGCCCAAAGGCAATTAAAAAAGCCTTCAGAGCACTGGGGTGATTGGTCAATGGAGCGGGAGCACAGGCAGTGTTCTCATCAATCCCTTCAGTAGCAGAGAGGAACACTGAAAGGAATAGGAAAGCACACCTGATCAACACATGGCTCAGGGGCTGGTGCCGTTGTCAGAATTTTGGGGTTTTTGACCACGGGGTGGTTTACAAGGCACCGAGCCTCCTCGCAGCAGATGAGTGCAACTGTCTCCAAGGGGCAAAAGGATTCTTGCTTATGAGCTGACAGGCCTCACTGAGAGGGCTGTAAACTAGATTTGGAGCGGGAAGGGGATAAATCCAGGCTCACTAGAGATGAGTCTAGGGGTGGTGTGCCAGAGTTGAGATCGATAGCCCAGCTCAAATGCATCTACACCAATGCACATAGCATAGGCACAAAACAGGAGGAGCTGGAAGCCATTGTGCAGCGGGACAGCTATGAGGTGGTTGCCATCACAGAAACATAGTGGGATGCTTCTCAGGACTGGAGTGCTACAATAGGATGGCTATAAGCTCTTCAGAAGGGATAGGCAAGGGAGGAGAGGTGGTGGGGTGGCTCTGTATGTTAGGGAGTGTTTTGATTGTATAGAAATCGAAGGTCGTGAAGACCAAGTAGAGTGCTTACGGTTAAAGATGAGGAGGAAGGCAAACAAGGCAGATACCCTGCTGGGAGACCACCCAACCAGGATGAAGAGGCAAATGAGACATTCTATACGCAACTGGCAGAAGTCTTGCATTTGCTGGCCCTTGTTCTTGTGGGGGACTTCAATCTACCAGACATCTGCTGGAAGTATAACAGAGCAGAGAGGCAACAGTCTAGGAGGCTCCTGGAGTGTGTGGAAGATAACTTGCTGACACAGCTGGTAAGTGAGCCTGCCAGGGGAGGTTACAAACAGGCAAGGACTGGTGAGAGATGTGGTGGTCGGAGGCCACCTTGGGCTTAGCGGCCACAACATGACAGTATTCTCAGATGTGAGGGAAGTAAGGAGAGGGGTCAGCAAAACTGCTACCATGGACTTCCAGAGGGCAGACTTTGCCCTGTTCAGGTCACTGGTTGAGAGAGTCCCTTGGGAGTCCATCCTGAAGGACAAAGGGGTCCAGGAAGGCTGGACATTCTTCAGGAAGGAAATCTTAAAGGCACAGGAGCAGGCGGTCCCCATGTGCCAAAAGAAGAGCTGGTGGGGAAGGCGAGCGGCCTGGCTGAACAGGGAGATTTTGCTGCGACTCAGGGAAAAGAGCAGAGTTTATCACCTCTGGAAGAAGGGGAAGGCAACAGCCCAGCTAGAGCTCAATCTGGCCACAGTTGTAAAGGATAATAAAAAATGCTTCTACAAATACATTAACAAAAAGAGAGGCAAGGAGAATCTATATCCCTTACTGGATATGTCAGGGAACATTGT